AGGGAAATGTGTTTTTTCCTGAAAGGATGAATGATCAACACTTAATCTGAATAAAGGAACAGTGAAACAGAGACAAACTATCACCTTTCATCTAAACGTCACTTGTCTGTTTGGGTTACCTCAGCTGTCATAGCTGAGGCCTAGCTGAGCAAATTTTCTGCAAATATCCTCTGTAGCAACCGTGCACCAGCAAGCCTGTCATTTTCCCAGGAATAGACGGGTAGTTAAAATTACAGCTTCTGAGGAGTGGAAATTTACGCACTGTCTGTTTTTAAATAGGACCTCTAACAAAATAAGCATATGGGAACATTTACTGATTCAAACATGAGGAGTTTTATGATATACGGGGAATCTTTAATGGTACAACTCAGTGTGAGGGTGGCATCTGGATCACTTCTACATATACTGGACGTATGCTCAACCACTGCAGATGGAAACTCTGCCTGTAGTCAAACCTTTGTGACCAGGACACTGAAAAGAAGATCAAACTGTTGACCAGTGTCTTCTTCGTACACCACAATCTAAAATGGGAATGAACAACACTGACTTTGAAGTATTTACAAATATTTACAAAACTGAAAAGTTGAACTCAGGGCCCAGTCGGTAATATTAAAGAGGAAGAACATTAGAGTAGATTTTGGCACAAAGGAAACCATTTTTTGCAGAATGCCATAAAGGTTTGAAGCTGCATAAATATTTGAAGGCAAGTGGAACACGCTGTAAAATTTCTGACATATCCTTTTCCTCCTGATGCACTCAGAGCCAAACCTTATAAATCATACAAAACCCTATCTGCATTTAAGAAAAATAAAAACCCTCAAATGACTGCAGTCAACTGCTCATCCCTCACTGTCTTGTAAAGTTAAGCTTTCCCATGTGGAGATCAGGTTTTAGTGGAAATGGTTTAACAAGACCATTTGAAAAAAGACATCATGTAAGAAGAACATGTACTTTGGAAACAATTTTCGACAAAAAATAAAAAAAAACAGGTCAGAAAAATGTGAGTTACATGTTACAAAACTATGCAATTATAAACGTTTACAAGCAAAACAGAGAAACCAACCAAAAAGGGACAGACATGTTGGGTTGATCCCAGAGTCTGGCCTCTTCCTTAGATCTGTGCCTTTTCATCTTGTATATGGATATTCTAGTCAAAGAATGTAAAATGTGTAAAAAAGAAAAAAAAGGACACAAATTTTCCCACCCTGGCACAAGTAAACAGTATAAAGTATTGCAATATTTAAAAAAATGTCTTTCTGTACCCCTGTGCATTAGCTGCGTGCTCCCAGGGGGCCCTGCTCCCCCACTTTGGGTACCACTGCCTTAGACAGTGTCCATCTATCTTCATACTGCATGGTTTTGGACTGTTGGAGGACGCTGCAGTAACCAGAGACACCCTCCCACACACGGGGAACACAAACCTCCATATAGGAGGACCATCAGTTACCACACAGGATCGAACCAGTGACGTTTTTAGCTGTAAGGCATCAGCAGAAAAAACACTTTTTCCAGTGTGGCCCTCATTCAAACGATGGACTCTTGCATTTATTTCAGAGGATATTTTACAGGTTTCTACTTTTAATAATAGTATCATTGTAGAACTAAAGCCATGAGAGACCGGGGGTGGAGGTCATCACCGCCCTCTCCATCTGTCTGCTGCTCCTGCTGCAGCTGGAGCAGAGACACTGTGCGTCCAACTGGGGGCGGCGTCGGACATACACTTTCCACAGCACCAACCACCACCCACCTCACCCGCACTCGCACTTGTGGGATCAGCAATTCAGATTGCATGCAAATCGAGGAGTGTGAGTGTGTGTGTGTGTGTGTGTGTGTGTGAGAGAGAGAGAGAGAGAAAGAGAAAGAGAGGTGTAGTTACATTCCTAAAGCAAGCGAGCGAGCGAGAGAGAGAGAGATAAACCTCCTCCCTCCTCCGCCTCGTACACCTCCTTCTCCCACTTCTGCCTTCTCCGTCCACTCGTCTCTCCTGGTCTCCCAGCCGGCGGAGGCGGCAGAGAGGGATTTCCTACCCGGGGTTGTGGATGCTGGCTTTGGGGCTGCAGAGTCACAGAGACACTGATAGTCTGTAGGGAAGTTGCAGGGAGAAGCATCGGTGCAACAACAACCCTCAGCGGACTCCAAAAGAGTTGGTACAGAATTCAGTTGTGGGAAAGTTTACTTTTTAGCCAGGCTCTACATCCGTGGTCATGCGTTCGGATCGGACAGTCCGGGCTGGCCGGACAGCGCTGCTCCTGGCCGGGCTGCTCGTGAGTCTGTGGCAGCGCTGCTCTGCAAGTTGCCCGGAGAGAGAACTGGAGGACAGAGAGGAAGAGGCCAACATAGTCCTGACCGGCACCGTGGACGAAATCATCAACATGGACCCGGTGCACAACACCTACTCCTGCAAGGTACGTGTTCCAGAGACAAACTCTGTGCAGGCGGCAGCGAGCTACGCCATGGGAGGACACATGGCATGGTCCCGGTGGACAACAAGTGACCGCGGACCGTGTATATATTTACATTTACATTTGTGTGTCCGGCGGAAGTAAGCCCTCGGTGACAACTTTGTCTCGGGACACTTTTCCGCGGCTTGCACACACGCAGGTTGTTTGGAAAACATTTTACACAGTCATTGATCCAGACGCTCGTGGCGCTGGTTAAATCACACACTGAATGACACTGAATTCTCTCTGCCTTCAGAAATAGAAAGATGAGTAGGTGATGTTTTTTTTTTTTAAATTTTATTTCCACTTTCCAATTATATATCTACAGGGAGGGCCAACCAAGCATGTAATCATCTCCAACATGCTGCAGCAGGAGTCTGGCCCCTCACTGGCCCCTGGCTGCAGCACACACACACACACACACACAGAAATACATGGAAATACATGGAAATATGCAACTTATCATCAGGAAATAATTGAAAACCAGCTCTTGAATCTTTGTTTATTTGTTTCGGTTCATATTGTGGTTTTAACAGATGCCAGTTAAGAACAGGCATGTCAGTAGAATCTCAGTGAAGCATCAGATAAAAACTGAAGTTACTCAGTAGTTGATGGTACATTTGCTGACCGTCGTTCAAGAACAAAATATATTGTGGCAGAAAACACTGACAGGTGCAGTGAGGTGTCCAGAACTGAAGCAAGAGAAATGTATGTAGATGTTCTCTCTGTGTGCAACACTGCAGCTGATGAAGTTCAGCACTGCACGATGACACAGTGGAGACCCAGGCTGACTCAGTCCTGCAACCTGTGAATTCTACCACCGCAACTAACTCCTGGCCCAGTGTGTGTGTGTGTGTGTGTGTGTGTGCAGTAGTGCAATGACTTAAGTCATTTGTGCATCAAAGACCTAGAAATCCAAACGTCTGGGAAACCTAACGTCTTCAGTTAATCAGCAGAGCACATGACCAGGGAGGAAGGGAAAAAAACATCTGCTGTCTTATAAAATAAACCTCATTTGGTATTTACTCCTTGTGAAACAAACTTCTGCTCCATCACCAGCTTGTGGTGCACCGCTCTATAATCTGTTAAAAAAAAAAAGAAAGAAACAAGTTGTGCTTGCTCAGCTCCGTCACTGCACTTTTTCTCCAGCGCTGACTGGCTTCCCATCTCTGTGTGAGTGAATGGAAGTAGATTAGAGGTGCAGAGCTGGAAATAGAAACCTCCACATACCGTAGTGCTCAAATAAGACAAGACAGGTTATATGGGAACCATGACAGTGCACTAATCCCAGACCCTGCTGCACTCACTGTAATGCAGCGCTCCAGCAACGTGTAAATAGAATTTTTCTGGACAGACACCTTGAGGGTCGGACAATCTCATTTTTGTCTAAAGGAATGTAAATAGAGTCATAAATGGTGGAGATCACTGATAGTTATTTGAGTCTTAGTTGTTTTTTTCAGTTGCTTTAATAACGAGGTCCATAATTGGTCACAGCTGTAGCTGACCCCACAGGCATTTTCACTCAACTGTAATTGATTAAATGTACAGACTTGACATTGTGTCCTAATCAAGATGAACTTAAAGTGGAGACCCTAAACCAGTGTTTTTGCTCATGAGGGGTCGTCTAAAATGTAATTGTAGAAAAAAGAAAAAAAAATGACTGGTAAAAATATTTATTCAACTAATCATTATTCCTTTTTGAATTATCATTAAAAACATGACTAACAATATTAAACACCTATATTTTATCATTCATATATTCATGAATATAAATTCAGTTAATTAAATGCAGCATATATAAAAATCTGAGGTGGTGCTGGAAAATAAAATGTCGCTTTGTACTCTATATATTATATTTGCATCACTGTATAACAAACTAACAAAAAAATGTCTGTGGTTGAAATTTGAAACTTGAAATTTGCAATTGGGATCACGTAGTGTCATGAATTCAAAGACTGAAATCTTTGTAATAGACTATGTCCATTTTTAAAAAAAAATTATGAATATGAATTTCTTATATACGAGCTCCATCGACACAACATGAATTCATGTCTTTAATCTTCTTTTAGGTACGAGTTTGGCGCTACTTGAAAGGCAAGACCAGTGTCAACCGTGAAATCCTGCTGGATGGTGGGAACAAGGTGATGATTGGCGGCTTTGGCAACCCCAGCATTTGTGACAACCAAGTGGCCACGGGCGACACGCGCATATTTTTTCTCAACCCCGCCCCGGAGTTGATGGGACCCGAACACAAGAACGAACTCATGCTGAACTCAAGTCTGATGAGGATTACTCTGCGCAACCTGGAGGACGTGGAGCACTGTGTAGAAGGTAGGCAGCGTGCGATGATTTGAATAAGTTGGGTTGTGCTAAGACACGGATAAACACGTATGGAAGCTAATTTCTAAGCTTATCTGGGCTTATCTTACCTTACTGGTGATACGTGTATACGATCCATGCTGCAGTTTAAAGACTCACAGTAATTGTAAAGCACTTTGAGCAGCGAGGATTTCATACACTGGTGGCTGCTGAAATTACATAGCCTGAGGCGGGCCAGAGTCAAAGTTTCCCAGAACTCTCTGAAACCAGGACACCTGAGTCATTTCAGCAGCTTTGTTGCCATGGCAGGACTCCAGCCTTTCCCCCAAGCCTTGAGGTGACTGATAAACACCTTTAAGACTAGTTGAGTGCTTATACGATGATTCCTGACCTTTGCACCCGTGGGCCGGGCCATTTTATTAAGTCAGAGGAGGATCCGACTCTAGGTTTTGCTGTTTTTAAAGAAGCAGAGAGAAAGAGAAAATGTAGGTTGCGTTTGTTGAGAGCAGTGATTTTTTTTAACTAAAAAACTGCAGTAAAAAAGAAAATGAAACACTGTACTTAATATATTCCCCCAAGTTCTTTTTTTGGTTGCAAAGTGATTTGTCAGGCTCTTATAAGGCGAACCGTGAAGCCATGACTAATAAATCTCAGCAGCCACCGTGACTGTGAGACTGTAGCAGCCTGTGCCGTCTGTGCCACTGAACACAGAGTTTGTCGGCGTCTAACTTTTAATGGTGCCTGACAATGTTGGCAGCCCTTCGAAGTTAGTATGAATCTTAGTCTTAAGAATGGCCACGAGAAGCAAGAGGAAATCTATTAGTGCCTGAATCACCTTGCTGGGGGCTTCTAGCGTTGTTAGTTCCATTTTCTCAGTCCTTTGCTCAGAGGAGTTCTGGGTGGCTGGATGTTCCACTGGATGGAGATTGTTTGCAGTGTTAAGTTGCATTTGGCACACACATAAAACTTCTTCTGTTTGTCTGTCCGGGCACGAAACACAGCACTGCTAACCTTTTCTTTCAGGCCTCCTTTCTGTCTTCTTAGACTCCTCTCGTGGAAAAGGGAGTTTCTTGGCTCTGATGGAACTGTCTAGAATGTGCTCTTTTTGTTTCTGCACTTTGTATTTTAAGGAGGATTTACTTTTCATAACCTGATTTTCCCATATGGCACGATAGTTAGAGGAACAGCCGTAAGGTAATTCAACAAAAAAGCCATTAGACGGAAGTTAGACGGCGATACATTTGACAGATGAATGAAATGATTGATCAGTGTATTTGTGAGGTTTGTAGAAGTGTCTTCACCACATACAGCCTGAATGATTGAGTGGAAATCCCAGAGTGAAATCTGTGTTTGTGGTTGAGAGGTTCAAATTGGCGGTGATAATAAGTTGGCAGCCCCCGTCCGATGGAAAATGAGCTGTGAGGTTTCTGCTGGAGCTTAGTTTTAATTAAGAAAGTCAAGTCCAATCCTATCCATACCATGCAACCACGACCGCCGGCAACTTTGGGAAGTCAGTGCAGGGGGACAAGACTCTACCTGCCGCATTTTTCATCGTACCCTCCTCTGCTTTCTCCTCATTCTT